AAACCCACTAGTTTTCTATGCTTGGTGTCTAATTTGGCTACACTGCTCCAGCACACTCTGATAACACCATCTCATCACATTTCTAACAGTTTACCACATTATCCTAATTTGGTGGTCAGTCACCCAATCTCCAGTGTTTCAAGAATTCTACCACGATGGCCCCACCCACAATGAGCTCCCAATCTCGAGGACGCACTTCCTTAGTCATCCAAGCCCACTTCACTGGTCTAATCCCAAAACTAGCCATTCCTTGCCTGTAGTATCCCATCAGGAAGGTTTTTAATGGCCCCGTCCCTCCAGATCCAAGACTACACCAATTGTGGTGCGAAGGATCAAACCAAAGCCTTGTGCATGAACAAGAGCTCTACCACAGTCCTCTTCGCTCCGTGCAGAGCTCTCGGTTTCCCGTACTTACTGTACTCCGGGGCCCACGCACCTGGAAGATGCCGAAGTCTTTCACCTGCGCATCCTGCCTCAGGCCGTGCTTCCAAGGGATGCGGAAGCGCGTGCGCCTCTCGTCCAGCCAGGCCACACCTTCCAGCTGCCCCCCGTCCAGCATCGCCACCAGCCAGGGCAAGATCCGCGGCTTCGGGGTTCCCATAGTCGGGCCTGCGCGCACGGGACAGTTCCTGGGAGCGGGCAGGCTTCTGGGCCCGCTCGCCCGGGGCGCTCACACCGAGACCTCCCTCTCCCGAGCTACGGGGCAGGCCCTTCACCCATGTTTTCCTGGGGTACAAACCGGGGACCTCTGCCGTGCTCCTGTCCTGAGAGGACTCTCCATATCCGGAGCCGACTCTCTTCCCTTCCCAAGTGTTCAGCAGCCGCTCTAGTCTCTCAATTCCTCCAGTTCAGACCCTTCGCTTTCTTGCCTTACCCACATCATCAAGCAGGTAGCCCTACTTCCAGAATGGCCTTCCTCCCTAGTTATTTCAGCGTAGCTGCTACTCCCGTACTTTGCCCCATGCAGACGTCTACCATTATGCCACAGATCCCCTTTCCTAATCCCTCCATCCACAACGACCCCCGGGGGGGGGGAGACCTGCCCCCCCCATTCCCTGGAACCTCCAGTGAAGAGGGCGCCTCTCTTCCTCCTGAGTTTCTCTAGTTTTCCCTTAGCCGAACTCCAGCGCCAGCCATTGCAGCTCCCTGATTGTATTTTTTTGTTTGTTTGTTTTTTGGCGGAACCGGGGATTGAACTCAGACCCTTCCGCTTGCCAGGGAAGCGCTTATTCTGAGCTATCTCCCCGGTCCTCCCTGCTTGTTTCGCAGAGTGCACAGCCTTCCTCTGCAGCTATCAGTGCAGACCCTTCCTCTCCCTCGATGCTCGCTCCGGATGCCAGCTCTTCAAGCTTTCCCCAGCTCTTCCGCGTTACCTACCTTGGAAGTATCGAGGCGCGCTGGGTATGGGGCTGCACCCTCTTTGCGTGCTCCTGGTATCTCTCGAACCTACGTACCCCGTTTCCTATTAGCTAAACAACAGAGCGCTGGGATCGTTCTTCTCTATCGATTTTTCTATGGTAAAAACTTTACTATCCTTTGGGTAAAAATTCAAAACACAATTGGGCGGTGCTAAGAACCCGGCTGTACCATTTAAGTTCTTTTTTCATCTTCCGGCCACAGGCATCCTGGGAACGTCATATGCAAATTAGACGGCACTCCGCCCCGCCCCTTCTGCCTTGGGGCGGTTAACAAGTCAGCAGTGCGCAGGCGCGGGAAAGTTGAACTAATAAAAAGTTTGTACAACGTGAGTGGTGGCGGGGGCGAGGACGGCGGCTGCGGCGGAGCCCTGCACTAGGTGAGTAGGGTGTTGTCGAGGGCTGGGGTAAGGAGGGAAGAGGAGGGGACCAGAATCCAGGAACTGACATCCTAACCCCGCTTCCCCGGCTCCCAACGCTGAAGGCCCCCGGGCCATCCTGATGCTTGGAACTACACTTCCCAGAAGGCTGAGCGCCGAAGAAGCACGGAACAAGGGAACTGTTTGCCGCAAAGCCTGCTGGTATTGGCAGTTTCTGATCTGAGTTAAAGCAGCTTGGTGTTTGGCTCCTTCACAATGCTCACACTGCTTGAATAGAGTCAAATCTCATTCTCCTCAGAACCAGGAGTCTACGTCCCCCTTTCCCAAGGTAAAGTAGTTCTCATCCCAAATCTCCCACTGGTAACCCAGGAATTTTGGTCCCAAACCCCAACTCTTCCCAAAGATTCAGCACCCTTGGGGCTGGTGAGATGGCTCAGTGGTCTAAAGCACCTACTTAGAACAAGCTTAGCAAAGCACAGGGACCACGCTTCAATCCCCCAGCACCACATGCCAGCCAGCCCCGCCCCCTGGTGGGCTGAGTTGCCCCCCGCCCACAAATAAATAAAATTTTTAAAAAAGATTCAGCACCCTACTCTTGGGGATATGGTTCCTGTCTGTTCTCCATTCAGGGCCTAGGAGTTCTGGCCCCCGAAGCCTCCGCTTCCAACAGAGCCAGGGATTGAACTCAGGCCCTTGCGATTGCCAGGGCAGCGCTTATTCCACAGAGCCATCTCCCCGACCCCTCCAACAAAACCTTGAGACCATCTCTCTGCCTGTCTCTTACAGCTGCCTCCATGGCAGGCTCAGAAGAGCTGGGGCTCCGGGAGGACACGCTGAGGGTCCTAGCTGCCTTTCTGAGGCAGGGCGAGGCTGCCGGGTCCCTGCCCCCCACTCCACCGAGGTAGGAGGGCTTGCTCTCTTCCCCCAGGCTTGGGGGTCGAAGGCCTCTTTAACTCTTGCTCCTGATCTCAGCCTGTCTTCTCTTTCCTGTCTGTCTCCCTGGGGTTCCAAGGAAGGGTCCTCCAAGAGGAGAAAGGGACTGCTTGCAGGACGTCTCTGGGGTCACTCTCTGAGGTCCTCTCCCCAGGAGCCCTGCCCAAGTGGAGCCAACGGACTTCCTGAGCCGCCTTCGAAGATGTCTTCCCTGTCCCCTGGGCCGAGGAGCCGTTCCTCCTGAGTCCTCTAGGCCTTGCTCCCTGCCCCTCCGCCCCTGCTATGGCTCAGCACCTGGTAAGAGACTCCTTAGATCCTAACCCTGGAACCAGCAGGGCCAGGATCCTAAAGTACTGCCAAGTACTATTTCAAGGTCTCTTAGCTAGCATGGAGCTGTGTGAGGTCTCCAGCACCCCCTTTATCATTCTGCCCTCAGCTCCAGCTCAGACTTTTTTTTGGTGGAACTGGGATTGAACTCAGACCCTTGCGCTTGCCAGTTTATTCTACTGAGCCATCTCCCCGGCCCCTTCCAGCTCAGATTTTTGTCAATTCTGTGAGCTAACTGTGGGGAGGTTAGGCATTTGTGGGCTTTGGTCATTCTTTTAAAAACAGGGTCTTGATCTGTAGCTCAGACTGGCCTTGGAGAGATACTTCTGCATCATTCTTCCAAGTGCTGAAACTACAGGCATATGTCACTAAGCCCAGGCTACCCCCTTTAGTTGGTATTTGTTTCCATCTGTGCTTCTGGCCCCTAAGAGTGTCCCTTTAGCAGAAACAGGTATCCCTAGTAGAGTCAGGGATATTTGTATTACTAGGATACGTTTGTATTACTAGGAAAAATCTTTTCTCTGCTTCTCTGTTTTTTTTAGAAGCAGAATAGCAGCGGGGTAGCAGGTCATCAAGCTTAAGAGTGAGGGACAGGTTTCCTCTCATAGGTAAAGCAAGATAGACTAGTACTGGCTGCCATGGCACTAGCATGAAAAGGAATTTGCTGTGAGAGAGAGGAATTCTGTGATCAATTGGTGATGTCTGAAATGTGAAGGAGAGGGTAGTGAGCAGGGATGCCTTGTCTGCCTTCCTTGTATGGAATAATCTTCAAAGTCCAGTCTAGTGCTGACATTTGGAGTTCCATACAACAAAGTGGAAGGTACAGAATTTGAGGATTATTTAAAAAATAATTTTATTGAGAAACAAATGGCAATGAGATAATTTTAAAATCAATCAGTAGGACAGTTTCAATAATATGAGGATCTTTTATCAGGTTTGTTCACTGAACTTCATTTTACCCCAAAGAGACCAAGTGTCATTGACTGTTTGCACCCCAGGCCCAGCTGCCCCTGACTTCTATACCCTGGTGGCCCAGCGGCTAGAACAGCTGGTCCAAGAGCAGCTAAGGTCTCCACCCAGCCCAGGTGAGGACAGAGGGGCCCTAGAGAAGGGGGAGGGAAGGGGGCACTGTCTCCAGGCCAATTATCTTCTGCCCCTAGAGTTGCAGGGTCCCCCACCCACGGAGAAGGAAGCTCTGCTGCGGAGGCTGGTGGCCTTGCTGGAGGAGGAGGCAGAAGTTATCAACCAGAAGGTGACAGACCCTCTGTTCAGTGGTCTCTTGAGGACAGGAGTGGTGGGATGGTTGGGGTGAGGGATCAGAAGCTGAATTTGGGGCTGGGGAGATAGCTCAGCAGCTTAAGCATCTGCTTGGCAAGTACAAGGTCCTGAGATTGATCCTGGGTACTAAAAAAAAGCAGCTGAATCTACATTTTCTTTGGAAGATTGGAAAGGAGAGAGACCTTCAAAGAAGGGTTGAATGATGGGGCATGGTTAGGGTATTTAAGTGAATGGCTTTCTTTGGTGTTAAGGTTGCATTCCCCGAATGCAAGAGGCATGGCTAGATTAGCATTCTAAAACTCAGCTAAAGTAAGACTTGGCTCTGGCAGTGAAGAACTAGTTGGGGGTGTGTGGCTTAGGTTCTAGGCCACATTGGGAGGCCTTTTGGTAGAGACCATAGAGTCTGAGACTGATGGGGGAATGGATGGGCCGTGGCTAGTGTCAGCCATCCTGGCCTGGCTGAGTGAGGTCAGCTGCCTCTTTCCCTCCCATCCCACAGCTGGCGCTAGACCCCGCCCTGCGTCGCAGGCTGGCCCGCCTGTCCACTGGTTCCTTCGCCCGCCTAGTGGAGCTGTTCTCCAGCCGGGAGGGCAGTCCTGGTCTGAGCTGCACCAGCCCTTCACTACCATGCCCTGGGCCCCCACCGCCTTCCCCTGAGCCCCTGGCCCGCCTGGCCCTGGCTATGGAGCTGAGCCGGCGTGTGGCCCGGCTGGGGGGCACCCTGGCTGGCCTCAGTGTGGAGCATGTGCACAGCTTTACACCCTGGATCCAGGCCCAAGGGGGCTGGGTAAGCCACCAAACCTCTGAGCCCCAGTGTACAGCTGTGCCACCACAGAGTGGGTAGGGGTGGTGTAGTTTCCTTGCAATCCTGTCACCTCCCAGCTCCACCATTCATTCAGTCTGTTACTGAGCCTCGAGCTGGGCACTGGGCACAGATTCGTTCGGACACTGTGCCCAGCTAAAGTCACTGGTGGACACCAGCTGTCAGATACCAAATAGGCAGGGCCCTCACAGGCCTCCTGTGTCCTCCTCTGTAAGGTGGGGTTGGTGGTCCTGGCCTGAGGGTCCCTGTGGGGAGTAGGTGGGGCATACTTGGTGCACAGCCTGGCACCTTTGGGCATTTTCATGATCGCTTGGTTACTGCCTGCCTCTCCTATGCTGCCTGCCAAAATGCCCTACCTTCACATCCCTTTCTCTGCCTCCTCGCTTCTGCTTCTGCGGTGCCCTGGGATAATGGGGGGGGGGCTTCCTTGCCCTTATGTATTTGTTCGGTTTTGAGACAAGGTCTTGTTATGCAGTTCAGGCCGGCCTTCAGCTCACTTTATAGCCCAGGCTGGTCTTGAACGCCCAACAATCCATCTGCCTCAGTCTCCCAGGGGCAGGGATTCCAGGTGTGTACCACTATGCCTGGCTTCTTATTTATGCTGCTGGGTACTGAGCCCAGGACCCCAGGTAAGCTACCAACTTGGTGTAGTAGTGGCACATACCTGTGACCCAACCACTCAGCGTGCCAATGCAGGGGAAGCACCGTGAGTTGAAGGACAGCCTGGGCTATATAACAGTAGTTCAGTCTAGGGGCCGGGGAGATGGCTCAGTGGAATAAGCGCTTCCTGGCAAATGCAAGGGCCTGAGTTCAATCCCCGGTTCTGGGGGGGGGTGGGGGGAAATAGTGCAGTCTAAGCTACATAGTGAGGTTCTGTCTCAAAGAAAAAAAAAAAAATCAAAATTTAAGAAAAGGCCAGAGCAGGGTGCACACCTGTAATCCCGACATTTGAGGAGACTCAAAGCCAGCCTGAGCTGCACAGTGTAACCCTGTCTCCAGAGCAAGTAGCCAGGCATTGGTGGCACACACCTGCGATCCCTCCCAGCACTCAGAAGGCTGAGGCAAGAGGTCACCACAAATTTGAGGCCAGCCTGTACTATACTGTAAGACCTTGCCCCCCAGTTTTGTTTTGTTTTTTTTTTCTTTCAGAACCAGGGATTGAACTCAGGCCCTTGCACTTGCCAGGCAAGTGCTTATTGTACTGAGCCATCTCCTTGGCCCCCCAATTTTTTTTTTAGAAAAGGGAAACAAAACAGGGAGATTAGGTAGGTCAGTGCTGGCGTTCTTGCCTACCATGCAAGAGAGCCGGCTTCCATTGCTAGCGTTGCAAACCCCGACCCTCAGGCCCTCCGTCCAAGCTCCTATCTGAAAGGGCTGGCAAGCTCTTCACAGTCCTGTGCGCTCTCACACCTGTGTTCTGCTTCCTTGTGTCGTACCCACTTCCCAATTCCTCTTCTGAATACTGAGCAGTCTCTACTCTTCTGTTCCTGGCTTCACCTTTAGTGCAGGCCTCGGCATGTGCGCCAGGGTGCAGGGTGACCTGTAGCTGTCCCCACCTTCCTAGCTCTGGTATTCCCTCCTTGGCCACCACCTCAGTCTCCCATGGCCGTGTGAAGGACCCTTCCCGGTTCTCTAGAGGTGGCTTGTGGGGCTAGAGCAGCGAGAGGGACAGGCAGCAAGACTGTCACTCACTGTGAACTTGGACTCAGCAGTGGGTCCTGACTTGGTGTTCCTGTTTCTCTGGTGCCCCCTGACGTTGGCGCTGGGGGTGACAAGGGACCGTTTTGCCGGTGGCCTGGCAGCCACCTCTGCACTCCCTGAGAGTGTGTGCGTAAATGGCCCAGAGGGGCAGGAGCGCGCTAGGGGAGCTTGGGAGACCTGGAGGTGTCCCGGGCGGCGAGAGGGAGATCCCCCTCCGACCCAGGTAAGCATGGAGCCAATTAGGATCCCTGCACTCTGGAGGCTGTGCCAGGAGGATCCTGGGAGTTCAAGGCCAACTTGAACTACTGCATGCCAAAACCCTACCTAAAACCAAAACAAAAACAAATTGAGCAGGGAAGCTCTCATGCTTGTAAGCTAGGCTGCTTTTACAGGGTAGTAACAGGCAGGCTCGGAAGAGACAGGTGCCAGGCCAAGGATTTCAGCAGCCTAACCCTGCTGAAACCCCGCCGCAGCCTCTTGGGTTCTGTCCCTGTCCTTGTCCTGACAGGGTGGAGTGGAAAAGCCCCTCAAACAGGGCCCACAGCTACCACTCAGCCTCTGCCCTTAATCACCCAAGTCTCTGGTCCACTTCTGGATGCCCCCCACTCCATCCTCGCGCTCCCTCCTCCCGCCTCGCCTCTCCGCAGGCGGGGTGGTCACCTCAAGGGATCCGTTGGTCTTACTGCGATCCCGAAAGGGCGGCAGAAAAGAGAAAGATGTACAGGAAGACAAAAGCTGGGCTAGGTGGCCGCTGGTCTGTCTGATAGGCAAGACTAACGTGATGGCACTACAGAATGATCCTTTATTTATACTTTTGCAAAGTTTGTAACACGTGACACAAGGTTGCTTAGCGACTAATAGCTGGCCTTAACCAGACAAGCTGTTTATTCCAGGAGGGAAGTAGCTTGTGGCTTAGGCCCTGCCGCCTAGGCCTACCCACACACACCCACACACACTTGATCACTTTCCTAGCTTCCTGGCTCCCAAAAGTCGCCCTCCTGCCCTCAGCTGTGCTGCTGTCCTTTCCAGGAGGGCATCCTGGCCGCCTCCCCAGTGGACCTGAACTTACCCTTGGACTGAGCCGGACCTCAGAAGCTGCTGCAAGACTGGACCTCTAGCCCTGCCCTCCTTGTGTGCCTTTCCAATTTCTTCCTTTACTCAGGGCTGTGGGTGGTGGCTGCCCTACCTGATTTGCCAAAAAAGATTTGTTTTAAATTTTAGATATTAAAGACTTTTTGGAATATTTGGAAAACCGAAAGTTTTTTCCTTCTTTTTCAGTGCAAGGGGCCTAGGCAAGTGCCCTACCTCTAGCTCTAAAATTCTAAGTAGGGGAGGCAGAGGCAGGAGGATCACCTAGAGTTCAAGGCCAGCCTGAGCTACCTAAGTTTGGGACCATTTTTAACTATATAGACCCAGTCTCAAAAAGAAAAAAAAAAAGCCTGGTGTGCTAGTACACACCTGCCTGCACTAGGGAGCCTGAGGCAGAAGGATCGTTGTGAGTTCAAGGCCAGCCTGAACTGCATAGTGAGAGCCTTTATTATTTATTTATTTGGCGGAACTGGGGATTGAACTCAGGCCTTTGCACTTACCAAGCAAGTATTTTACTGAGCTATCTCTCTGGCCCCGAGACCCTGTATTTATTTATTTATTTAATTTTTTAAAAAATTTTATTTGTGTGTGTGTGTGACCAGCTCAGCCCACCAGGGGGCGGGGCTGGCTGGCATGTGGCGCTGGGGAATTGAACGGTGATCCCTGTGCCTTGCCAAGCCTGTTCCAAGTAGGTGCTCTAGACCACCGAGCCATCTCACCAGCCCCTGAGGCCCTGTATTTAAAAAGACAAAACAAAAAAAGCAAACTAGATTGGTTCTGAGATCTCTCTGGTTATAAATTGAGGTAAAACCAGGCATGGTAGTATACTCCTGGAATCCTCATATACAGGAGGCTGAGGGAGGAGGATCCCCAGAACCTGAGACCAGCCTGGACTACACAGCAAGACCCTGTCTCAAAATAAATAATAATAAATAGACATAAATATAGACATGGTGGCACACACCTGTAATCCTAGCAGTTGGGAGACTGAGGCAAGAAGAGCCTGTCTCAAAATAATTAAAAATTATGATGTACTCTACAAAGAAAACTGAGCACATACTATATAATCCATTCCTATGAAAATTTATTTTTATTTTTATTTTTTTTCTGAACTGGGGATTGAACTCAGGCCCTTGCACTTGCCAGGGAAGTGCTTATTCCACTGAGCCATATCCCCAGCCCCTCATATGAAAATTTAGACACTGTATGTAATCTGAGTTACTCCAGAGGCTGAGGCAGGAGTATCAAAAATGACCCATCTCAAAAAGGGCTGGAGATCTAGCTCTGGTAAACTGACCCCGGTTGAATACCAAGCACTAGAAAAAAATTTTTTGTTAGACAAGTGGGAGTGAAACTACAGTAACAAGAAACAAAGTGCGGCTAGGGGCATCATGAAGAGATTTTGGGGTGATGGAGAGAGTGGGTACGCAGCTGTATCTCATCAAACTGAGTTGGGTGTGTATTTGGTACATTAATCACATCTTTGTTAGAGTTGGCTTAAGGACAAGGGAGGATTGCAGGTTTCAGCCTCGGTTGGGCAACTCAGCCACTTCGTGAGACCCTGCCTCAAAATAACAAAGAGCTGGGGCTGTAGCTGAGGACAAATGCGCGGGGCTCCATCCCGGGGAAGGATGAACTCAGCTGCCCTAAGTGTGTAACTGGAGGCTGGGGGTGGGGCTCTTGCCTAGCCGGCACGAGGCTCTGCCTTCTATCCCCAGAATCACAAATAAATGAGTAAACCACTTCCCCCCTCTGCCTTAAGCTTCCACACCTGTAAAACGATGGCAATAACAGTGCCTGCTCTGGTAGGGTGCTGGGACAGCTGGATGTGTTTGAGACAGTTTTCATTGTTCGTTTCTGAGATAGTGTTTCATTGTGTAGTAATCCCGGGCTGGCCTTGGAAGTTACAGCAATCCTCCTGCCTCAGCCTCCCATACTGTTTGAGGCAGGGTCTCACCATGTAGTCCAGGCTGGCCTTGAATTCAGTCATCCTCCTCCCTCAGCCTCCTGAGTGCTGGGATTATAGGCTTGTTCCCCCACACCTTGAGACGGGCTTTCCACTAGGTAGTTCAAGGTGGTCCTGAACTCACCTGTGTAGCCCAGGCTGTCCTCGAACTCTCAGTGGTCTCCTGCCTCAGCTTCTCCAGTGCTGGCATTACTGAATGCATGCACTACGATGGCAGGCTTGTATTCATTTATTTAAAACTCACCAAGGTTCACTAGTACTTAGAGCTCTCAGTCCGTATGAACTACATTTATTGGCAGTAGATAAAGGAGCTTGTTTTCCTTTTTTTTTTCTTCTGTACTGAGGACTGAGCCCAAGACTTTGCACTGCGTTACATCCCCAGCCTTTTTCATTTCCTATTTTGAGACAGGGTCTCGCTAAGAGGCTAAATTACATAGGTTGGGCTCGAACTCTAGATCTCCTGTCTCAGCCTCACAGAGGACCATGATTATCGGTATGGGCCACCACATTCACCTAGAGAGCTCGTCTTAAAGAAGAGTGACCCTTTTTAAAGAGGGTAAGCAGTGTGATGACACATTAGCGCCAGTGTGTCGTGGTCTCAGGCAACTAGGTCAGGATCCAGAGCCCAGCAGGGACTGGGAAGCATTGGAGGCCAAAGTTGGTGGGGAGCACGCGGCCAAGCTGGGGTCTGAGATTTTCTCCCGGGGATCTGGGGTGCCCCGGCCGGCAGCGAGCAGCAGAGGAGGCGGGGTTGGGGACTGACAGGCAGCTGGAGGAAGTCTCCAGACAGTCCTCTGGTGCTGGGCTGGGAGGCGGGGCTGTTCTGATTTGGGGACCCAGAAAGAAGCGCTGCTGTGAAGGAAGTGACAGTACGGAGGGGCATCCGGAACTCATCAAAAAAGAAATGCTGGAAATCTCTTGTCAGTAAGGAAGTGAGGAACCCGGCACAGCCTGGGCAGCGGCCCGGGGCAAGGGAGATGGCTCATCCGGAGGGGACTGGAGAGGTTTGCAGCGAGGACGGTAGTGGGACAGGAAGGGCAACGCTCACGAACTCTGCCATGTGGTTTGCCCCTCATGCAACCAGTAACTTCTACAGAGCGCGCAGATCTTCCCGGAGGTGGTGTCTTCCAAGCGACCCCAAGCGTGGAGTAGGAGTTCCCCAGACAAAGGGAGGTGGGTGTTCCAGACAAGGGGCGGGGCCCGGCAAGGGCCAAACAGCGTGAGAAGGGGCAATGGGTTTCACAAACCTGAAGCAATACAGTAGAGGGCTTAATGCGCTTATGTCTTATTCCTACTCCTGATTTCTTTTGGGATCCCGGACAAGTCTACCCTCTTCCTTGGCCTCACATTACTTAGATTCTTCCCCCTTGGTAAAGGGACATAGGTGCTCTTGTTCGTCCTGGATTCCCCTCCGCCTGGGAGAATTCATAGACTGGGAGTGAGTGACAGTTCATCTAGCCCAATCGGAGTGCCTGGAGGCCCGCCCTTCCCTCCTCATGGGCCTATTGCCCTGTTGTTCTTGAAGGCAGGGAGGGCGGGCCAAAGGCCTCGAACGTCATCTTAATTGCTCCATAAACCAATGAGAGTAATTAAGAGGCGGGTAGATCTGCTGATAGACAGCTCTGATTCAAGAGGTACTCTTAGCGTGGAGGCTGCCGGGAAGCTTTGGGGTGGTGCTGGTGATAAAAGGGCGGGAGCTCCTGGTTGACTGTGCCCAATCATCTGACGCACTCTGAGATAGACCCGTGGGTTTCCCCATCCCGGTTCACTTGGAGAGGCGGGGCTCTGAACGCCAGGATAGGCAGGCCTGATCTTTGATGGGCGTCTTGTTCACCCAATTACTAAGCGGCATTTCCAGACGGGCCGCCTCTAGTACCAATGAGATCTTCTGGCGGGGACTTGGTGGGCGGGCCGTAGACTCCGGTATAAGGCGGTCCCGGGGGCGTGAGGAGAAAGGGGGGGGTCTCAGCGGCCGGAGGAGGAGTAGGTGCTGGTGAAGATGGCGGCAGCTGAGGCCGCGAACTGCATCATGGAGGTGAGCGCCTGGAGTGCCGCTGGGGGCGGGGGGCAGCTTCGGGTCGGTGTTTTACGTCGTTATCGTGGGGAAGGGGCTCTGAGTCGCCGAACTGGGGCTGAAGGCGCTTAGCCGCACTATGGTGGTGCCGCATGCACATTATCCGGGGATATCGTTTGAGGGGGGTGTCCCTGGCCTTCAGGGGCCATGAGCACCTTGAGGAGCCGCGGTTTCCGTCCCCCCTCCCACGTGGAGCAGTGCTGGGGGCGCTTCCGGCAGGGCCCCCACGTGGCCCGGCGCGGTGGGTGGGGAGGGGGTGTGCCGATCCCGGGGGCCTGGCGGGCTCCACGTGCGGGACAAAGGCCCCGCCCCTGGCGGGGAAGGGGCGCCGGGAGGGGGAGGCTGCGACCCTTCCTCGTGAGCCCCCAGCCTTCTTCCAGGGGCGGATTAATTTGGGGCCCTCCGCAGCGTTAGGGCTTTCGTGGGAGGGCCCAGTGTTCTGGATCCTCGGAATCGCCCTTCTTGGGCCTGGGGGTGTCTGCTGGTCACAGATGCAGGTTCTGTGTATGGTGGCTTTGGGCTAGAAGATGAAAACCAGGTCTTTCATTTTCCTGTCTGGATTCTCCCCGGCCTGGGGCTTCGGGAGCTGGGGGATGGGGCATGCCCCTATGACCTCGCTTTGCGTGCTGGTGGGGATCTAGACAGGAGAGCCTTCTCAACCCGGCGCCGTGCACCCCCTGGTGGCCATTTCGGAGGTGTGGGAGGGCCGTCTTTTTCATGGGGCGTGGCCCAAGACTCACATCCCATTTGGAGCCCTTTGGGGTGGGCAGATCTGCCGGAAAGGAGTTGTATTGAGTTAAAAGTGTGTTGTGTATAGTATAGGCTGCTGGCTTTACTATCTCCTCGAGCTCTTCTCTCCTGGCATTCTTGAGGGTGGGAGAGGACCCCTCGTTTCTGAAGATCGGTGGGGGTCCCAAGCTGGATGCCAGAAACAGTTTGCACTAAAGTCCAGTAGGGAGTATTCAGGGATGTTTCGAGGTCTTGGGCTGGGGTTGCCTGGTGGTGGCATCTGTGATATCAAAATAAATAAAAGGTCCCAGCTGGAAATCTTGGCGGCTACCATCGTTGGCCTGGGAGAGGGAGGAGGAGGCTTGAAGCTCAGTGGGTCACCGGTTGCCCCTTACAGGCACGCAGATTGATTTTCACGTTGAAAAGACGCGGTGCGCTGGGGTGTCTCCTTCCACCCCTCACCTTGTAGCAAACCCTGGAGAGGAAGGTCAGCTCCTACATACCTGGCGTTTATGTCATAGGGGAACAGCACCCCCCCTTATCTCCCTTGGCTCTCCTGGGAGAGCCATCTCCATCTGCCAGCGCTTGGCTGAGCTTGGCAGCACATCTGCGGGCTTTGCGATGGGGGAGGCCTGTGTGAATGGAGGCCATGGCTTTGTCCCAGGGGCATGCCCCTCAGAGGTGCTGGTGACAGTCACCCTCCCCAACGCTGCCTTCCTAGGAGAGGGTTTACAAGGACATTGCTCCCAGCTGGCTTTGCTTGGGCCTCTAGAACCCAGGGTGGGTACCAGGGGCTGGGGGACCAGCTGTGGTGGGGGTGGCTTGTGCCACACTTTTTTGAAGTCATTTTGCTCAGAGGAGAGACTAGAGACTAGGTTTGCAGAGGTGGAAGGTGCCCAGTGCCACTCTGCCAGGCCCTCCAGCTATTCACAGACACTGGGATGTGGGTGTGTGTCAGGGAGCTAGCGTCACCTAATCTGGGGAGATTAGGTGATGAGGGGGAGAGACAGGTGGCCATACCCATGTGCCTGGTGGGTGCCAGTTCCTCCGGCTTGGGTGGGGGAGGAATTGGTCAACTCCCTGGCCAGAGGGGGCAGCATGGGGGCGGGATGCCATCTCTCCAGCCACAGCTGGGATGGGAGATTCCCTTACTTCTCCCTCCATCTCTCCCGTCCCCTCCTTAAACCGCCCCGCCTCATGGCCTGCTTGCTTTGGCCCCACGTCCCACCAAGGAGAAGCAGCACTGAGGCAGCCCACTTCCTCAGAGCCCAGCCCTGGCCTGGCCCAGCCTGGCCGGGCCGCTCCCAGTAGCTAATCCTTTCTCCCTGTTACTCTCTCCTAGAATTTTGTAGCCACCTTGGCTAATGGGATGAGTCTCCAGCCGCCTCTTGAAGAAGTAAATATCCTTTTGTGAGACCCCTCCCCAGCTCCACATAAATACTTCTCACCACACATGTGCCCCTTCCCAAAGGCCTTAACTAAGATCCCTCACATCTGCCGAGTTTACCCCATGCCCCAACACAGTGCAAAGCCCTCTTATAAGTTCACAGCCCCCGCTGGCCTCCCTCAATGTTGTGGCTACTTCCTTAACTCCACCTCCAGCCCCCCATTTGCCCTTCCCTTGTGTCTGCCCCAGTTCTACCTTCCCCTCCCCTCCCCAGCTGTGGGCTGAGCTAGAGACGGGGGCAGAGAGACTGGAGAGATGGTAGGCGTGGCTGAGGTATCGGGGTGCCCTCTGGATGGTGCTCTGGGGTGGGTTCTGGAAGTCAGAAGTGGGGTTCTTAGGTTTGGTATCCTGGGGGAGGAAGACGGCGGACGGGGACCATAGAGTTGCCCTGATATGATTTTAGGGGGATTCTGTAATATTCTAGAGGAAAAAGTAGGGACCTGCAGGTTTAACAGGTTACAGGGCTCCTGTGTTTGACCCTGCTCCTGTCCACCCCTGCCAGGTTTCCTGTGGCCCTGCGGAAACCAGTGAGAAGCCCAATGCAGAGGACATGACGTCCAAAGACTACTACTTTGACTCCTATGCCCACTTCGGCATCCACGAGGTGAGTGCAGGCTGCTGGGGACTCCTCAGCATCTGGAGAGGTGGAAGCAGCTTCCTCCTCTGGCAGCTGGCCACCCCTCGCCATTCCTCTTCCCCACCCCCCAATTGCGCCTGCGCATGGTGGGTCTCCCTTCTGCCGTTGCCTTGGAGACTGGGATTAGCCTGGCCCTCTTCTGCTCTTCAGGTTGGGTGAGAACACGCATGCGTGCCTGAGACTGCACCAGAGGTCAAGGCTTGCTGGTCTCTGCTGCCTCTAGTGACTGGCGCTGGGACTGCGCTCCACCTGCTCTAGTCCTGACCGCTTCTTGGGTGGCCTTGTAAGGAATCCCTGCCCCCTCTGAAGCCTTTTTTAAAAATGGCCAAGTAGGGAGCCAAGCGTGGTAGCACATGCCTGTCATCTCAGCACTCTCAAGGCTGAGGCTGGATTGTGAGTTTGCCATCGTGGGCAACTTACTGAGACTTAGCTCAAAATGTAAAAGGGCTGTGTATGTAGCCTAATGTGAAGGCCCTGTGTTCAGTTCCCAATACAGTAAGTCCCCGACTTACAAACATGGAGTTTTGAACTTTCACAGATACAGAGAGACCTCCAATTACAAACATTCACAGATGTGAACGAATCATGGAAGTAGCTTGTGTGTCTGCCAGACATTGTCACAGTGTGCTGCTGTGCTCAGTGTGTTAGTATACAGGGGTCAGATCCCAGGCTGTCTGGAAGCAAGAGGCAAAGGAGGCAAAGCAGGCAAAGCAGTGGCCGGGCACGAAGCAGCACACAGTGTAGGTGTGTGCCAGAGATGCGTGAGACTGGCTCGGTCAGACTTAAGAATGCATCTGACTTACTATAGCGCAAATGTTACAGGTAGTGGGGGGGGGCAGAATTTAAGGTGGGACCCTGACCCAGTGTGTACTGAACCCTGAGTTCTGTCTTCAGCACCATAAAAGTAGTAAGATACTTTTTTTTCTTGCTTTTTATTTATTTATTTTTTATGTATTTGGTACAGGGTCTCACTATGCATCTCCAACTGTAGTGATCCTCCTGTTTCAGCCTCCCCAGCGCTGGGATGACAGGCGTGCACCACCACGCCTGGTCTTAGTGGCTGGCACAGTGCACCTGGGGTGGGGCCAGCACAGCGTGCGGTACCAGGGATCAAACCTGGGTCCTTGCACTTGCCAGGGAGACCCTTAGACTGCTGAACTGTCTCTGCAGCCCTCCTTTTTAGCTTTTTCTTTTTTGTGGGGGAGGGAAGGGTCTACAGGGTGCCCAGGGTCTTACTACTAGATCAGACCTGTTAGGATCCACCAGTTTACAGCCTCCCAAGAGCTGGGATTACAGGCGCGCTTCACCACATCCAGTCTCAGTTACCTTCTCAGTGCGCCTGGCACTGACACCAGCTCTGGCCCCATGCCTGCTTGCAGGTGCTTTTTTTTTTTTTTTTTTTTGGCGGAACCAGGGATTGAACTGAGGCCCTTGCTCATGCCAGGGAAGCGCTTGTTCCACTGAGCCATCTCCCTGGCTCCTTGCAGACACTTTAATCCGCTCAGCTATTTGGCTCACAGCCCTCTTTCTTGCTTTTTAAAAATGTATTTATTTTTTTGTCGGGGTCTCACTATGTAGCCAGGCTGGCTTTGAACCCCCCCCCCCCCCAGTACTGGGGATTGAACTCTGGACCTTGCGCTTGCCAGGCAGGTGCTTATGGCACTGAGCTATCTCCCCGGCTTCTGCCTCTGCCTTCTGAGTGCTGGGATTACAAGAGTGCATACCCTACTATTTTTATTTTTGTTTTTCAGTGGTAGGGATTAAACTCAGGATCCTTTTGATCCCCAGTGTGAATGCCCTGCGGTCCCTGGTGTAGTGGCACAAGCCTGTAATCCTAGCACTGGGGAGGCTGAGACTGAAGGATCACTATGAACCCTTAACTGCTTAGTAAGACCCTGTATCAAAAACAAAAATTAAAAACTCAGGATCTTCACATTGAGCTACATCCTCAGCTCTTGTTTATTTTGAGACAGATTCTTACTAAACTCAACATGTTGGGCTTCAATTTTTGTTATTTTGCGGCACTGGGGATTGAACTGAGGACCTTGTGCATGCCAGGCAAGCGCTTATTGTGCTGAGCTATTTTCCCAGCCCGGGCTTAAACTTTTGATCTTTCTGTCATCATGGCTGGCAGAATTACCATTCTGTACAGTTCAGTGACATTGACTGAGGACGTTTTATATACGTATGTTACAGAGGACTTTGAAAAACCAGGGATTTGAGCCTGCCAAATAGTTTAGGCAAATGCTGGGCCCTGTCTTGCTGGCCTGGCCCTGCCCTGCCCCCAGGGCATACTGAGAGGCGATTGAGACTGGGCCTGGTGGCTCGTGCCTGTAATCCCAGCCTTGGGAGGCTGAAAAGGAGGATCACTACAAGTCTAACCTGTGTAATGAGACCCTGTATACTAAATACATTAAAATAAATTAAAAACCAGGGATTTGTTGGCACACACCCATTATCCCTATTCTGGGAGGCTAAGGCTAGTGAGATCCTACCAAAAGGCTTTTTTAGGTGGTGGAGAGGGGGGAGGGCTTTTTATGTATTAGCAGGCGCTTTAGTCCAGTGATCTATCTGGCCGGCCCTTGGTGGGGGAGGGAACATCCTGAGACAGGGTTTCGCTATGCAGTTCAGGCTGGCCTTGAACTTACTTTGTAGCCTAGGCTGGGCCTCAAACTCAACAGCAGTCCTCCTGCCTCTGCCTTTGAGTTCTGGGATTAGAAGCATAAGCCGTTATGCCCAGCTTCAAAATAAAAATTTAAGGGGGCTGGAGAGACAGCTCAGTAGAATAAGCGCTTGCCTGGCAAGTGCAGGGTCCTGAGTTCAATCCCCAGTACTGCAAAAAAAAAAAAACAAAAAAACCCAAAATAAAAATTTAGGGTCGGGGACATAGTTCGGTGGCATAAGCACCTGCCTGGCAAGCACAAGGTCCTGAGTCCAATCTCCAGTGCCAATAAAAATTAAACAATACAAAATTTAAAATGGGCTCAGTGTGAAGGCCTTGGGTTCAGTCCTCAGCACAAGAAAATCACCCCCATCCACTCAAACACAGGACACAGGCTCATGTGGCAATGGCCAAGATGAGAATTTGGCCCAACTCATTTGATTTTGTAAGGATACTGAGGTACACAGAACAGAAATGATTTCTCCTTGCGGCCTAGGCCTGGCCCAGCCCTCTGCGAGTGGGATAGGTATTGAAACTGAAGCCCTCACAGCATCTCTGCACCCCTCCCCCAGGAGATGCTGAAGGATGAAGTGCGGACCCTCACGTACCGCAACTCCATGTTCCACAACCGGCACCTCTTTAAGGACAAAGTGGTGCTGGATGTGGGCTCGGGCACGGGGATCCTCTGCATGTTCGCTGCCAAGGCAGGAGCCCGAAAGGTCATCGGGGTGAGTCTCCTGGGGCACAGGTGTCTGGGCCAGGGGGGTGGAAAGGGGCACTGGATGGAGGGGCTGGGGTGGAGGCGAGACTCACCCTTGGGGGCCTCACCCTCTTCTCTCCCTGGGCCCTCAGATCGAGTGTTCCAGTATCTCTGATTATGCCGTGAAGATCGTCAAAGCCAACAAGTTAGACCACGGTAGGTGAGCTCAGGAAGATACTGGTTTGTGGTTTTTGTTTTTTGGGTTTTTTTGCAGAACCAGGGATTGAACTCAGGCCCTTGCGCTTGCCAGGGAAGCGCTTATTCTACTGAGCCATCTCCCCAGCGCCAAGAAATTGGGTTTATGGGAATGACATGGGACATTTCAGCCACAGCCTAGCACCTCCCAAATGAGGGAGGGCAGGAAGCACCTCCAGCTTCTCCCATGCAGACAGTCACGTGGCCATGTGTGGGGCCTTTCATGAGACCTGAGCCCTGGCCACTCAGCTGTCCAAGTCTGCCCAGCGCCTCCACCTCCACGCAGAGCAGTCTGCACTTGCTGCCCACATACGCAGGCGGAAGGGCCGTCCCATTCACTGCTGCCCGGCAGTGCGCGGTCCCCCTTCCTCAACTGCTGGTGGCATTGTGTAATGTCAGGGCATCTGTCCAGCTGCTGTCATCTGCGTGCCCCAGCATTGTGCCAAGTCCCTGGTCACTGGGCATGTTAGCCTCTTCAGAGACTTGTGTCCCCTGGCACACACTGTCATTTCACACCTCCATTAGTGAGTGTGTTGTTGTCCATAGAAGCAGCCCCCTCAGCTCACCTCTAGGTTTGTGCGTGGGTAGTCGTGGGCAGGGACACAGGGAAATGCCTGGTATCCACATACGGAGCCTTCTGGTTGCTGAGTGGCTGTCGTGTAGACTTGCCGTGAACTCATATGTGCCTGGTACTTAGCCTCAAATGGGCGTCCCCTTTTTGGTGAGGTCACCTTGAAACCTGGCCAGGCCATTCCTTAGTCCATCCAAACCTCCGGGCCCTAGAATCTTCTCTTCTTCTTCTTTTTTTTTTTTTTTTTTTTTTTTTGCGGAACCAGGGATTGAACTCAGATCCTTGCACTTGCCAGGGAAGCACTTATTCTACTGAGCCATCTCCCTGGCCCCAGAATCTTCTCTTCTACAGGGAGGGTGTCAAGGCAAAGCTGGGGCTTTGTGAGCAGGGGACCCAGGGCGTAGTGTGAAGCTCAACCCTACCTTCTATTTATTTATTTCGTACCAGGGATCAAGCTCAGTACTTTGCGCTTGTCAGACAGGCACTTAACTCTGCTATGTCCCCGACCCCTCCCCCTGTCCCCATTCTAAGGAAGGTGCCTGCATGGGGACTGGGCTCTGTCCCAGCTAGAAAAGAAACAAATGGTCACAGTGATACAGAAATTTGAAAATAGCCAAGAGAATGCAGTTTCAGTGCACAGACCCTTAAGACAGGTCCAGAGTCAGCCCCAGCCCTGGCCTGGGAAGACGGCCACCCCCGTTGGGTCCCAGCTGATGGTGGCCCTGTTGCCCACAGTGGTGACCATCATCAAGGGGAAGGTGGAGGAGGTGGAGCTGCCAGTGGAAAAGGTGGACATCATCATCAGCGAGTGGATGGGTTACTGTCTCTTCTACGAGTCCATGCTCAACACTGTGCTCTACGCCCGCGACAAGTGGCTGGTAAGGGCTGAGGGCCCAGGGCGGGTAGGTCCAAGGGAGAGTGGGAAGCTGGAAGGGTGCTCCCCAGAGGGGACTTGGTGAGGGTGGGGCTGCCTGCAGGGTACTGCAGCAGGGCAGGAGTGTGGGCTGAGGCAGCTCTGGTCTCAGAAGCAGCCAGTGTCCCGGGTGTGTTGCTGTGTGGAAGGCCCCTGGGCAGGGGGTGGGGCGGGGCAGGCATTTCTAAGGACCCCTCAGCCTCTGGACCACGGCCTGGGTGTTCTCATGCCCTCTGGTGGCTCTTTGGAGAACGCACTTGTGGATGAGGGCTGAGTCTGGGTGAGAAGTGACAGCAACACTGTCCCCGGAGAGGCTGCATCAGTGAGCCTGTCATGCCCTCGCCCAACTCTGCAGGCGCCCGACGGCCTCATCTTCCCTGACCGGGCCACGTTGTATGTGACAGCCATTGAGGACCGGCAGTACAAAGATTACAAGATCCACTGTGAGCAGGGCCAAGAGACTCGGGTGGCCTCGGGGCCCTGGGCCTGTCCTCTGCTGCTCACCCTGCATGCCTCCTCCACAGGGTGGGAGAATGTGTATGGCTTCGACATGTCCTGCATCAAGGATGTGGCCATCAAGGAGCCCCTGGTGGACGTGGTGGACCCAAAGCAGCTGGTCACCAATGCCTGCCTCATAAAGGTCTGGGGTTGGGCCGCCCCCTGGCCAGCGGGGTGGCGGGGAGGACTTTGGACCCTGTGAGCCTGACCTGTGCACCACAGTGGCCTGAGGCCAGAGCTGCTACTCTGGCTGTGAAAATCTCGTGGTAGAAGCCAGCATGGTGCCCAGGGGGTTCCGGCCGTGGTGAACTAAAGCAGGGATTGTGGGCAGTGGCAGGGAACACGAGGTTCGTGGTCAGATCGTGGCTGCCATGAGTTGCCCAGTATGGCAGTGGGTAAGGGGAGTTACAGCTGTGCTCTGGTGAGGGGCCCAGACCCCTGGCAGCCTAGTTTAATGCTTAGTCACCCGGCTGTCCACTGGGAAGCAGGACGAGGAGCTGCACCCCAAAAGGAGGCTTGACCTGGGCCTGCGCGGGCTCACGGCCTGTCCCTGCCCCACAGGAGGTGGACATCTACACTGTCAAGGTGGAAGACCTGACCTTTACCTCCCCATTCTGCCTGCAAGTGAAGCGGAACGACTACGTGCACGCGCTCGTGGCCTACTTTAATATTGAGTTCACACGCTGCCACAAGCGGACCGGCTTCTCTACCAGTGAGCAGGGCCAGGACACGCGGGGGGGCGGAAGATGGGAAACTCGAGGGTGCTGAGAGTGGGACAGGGACCTGGGAGCCCTTGGCCACCAGGGCTGTGGTGACTGCGCACCTGTCCCCCAGGCCCCGAGTCCCCATACACACACTGGAAGCAGACAGTGTTCTACATGGAGGACTATCTGACGGTGAAGACAGGCGAGGAGATCTTTGGCACCATTGGCATGCGGCCCAACGCCAAGAACAACGTGAGGCGCTTGGGGACCTGCTGTAGGCCAGGGGGACCACAGTGCAAGTTGGGGCAGGCTGCTGGCTCTGCTGACCCAGATGGGACTTGGGAGGGGACAGGTGTAGGCACAACATGGCCAGTCTGTGGCAGAGGAGGAGCTGCCTCTGGTGGGGTCCACCTGGGCCTCAGGTGGGAGGTGGACTCAGCAGTGAGCAGCAGGGACCCATGACCATGGGTAGCTAGCAGCCTGCTGCCGCCTGCCTTCAGCCAGGACCACAGGAACCAGTGTGACAGCCCGTGCAAAGTGGGCATTGTCACTTTTTCCTCAGGATGCCTATCACTGCACAGAACCAGTTTTGGTTGTCCATGTTGGGAGTGTGCTCCTGGCACCAAGTGGGCAGAGGTCAGGGGTTCTGGTGAACAGCCTGCAGCACCCCACAACTCTCCAGCCCCAGGGAGAACTCCAAGTAAAAGCATGGCAGAGGGCAGGGAATCCCTGGCCTGGCCGCGCTCCTGTGCTCTGGCTTGGGCAGGACGAGCTCACAGGAGCAAGGGGCTGGGAGGTTTCCTCAGGAGCTGGTGTTGCCACCGTGGCAAGGGGCAGTGCTGAGCGCTGTCACTCGCCCCTGACCCTGTCCCCTTGCCCACAGCGTGACCTGGACTTCACCATCGACCTGGACTTCAAGGGCCAGCTGTGCGAGCTGTCCTGCTCCACCGACTACCGGATGCGCTGAGGCGGCACCCAGGGCCTGTGGCATTCTTAGGCAGTTTGGGGTCCCCCTTCCTCTCCCTCCCTCCCACAGAAGGGGGTTGCTGGGGCTGGGGGCATGGGGAGGGCACATCGTGACTGTGTTTTTCATAACTTATGTTTTTATATGGTTGCATATACGCCAATAAATCCTCAGCTGGGACCTGGCTCAGTTTCCTGGGTGTGCAGTGGTTTGGGGCTCTCTTCAGGTGCTGGGTGCCAGCTCATACAGCCCAGAGGAAGGGACTGGGGGCCTGCTGGTCTTCTTTTGAGACAAGGTCTTGCCAAGTCACTGAAGTTGCCCAAGCTTATGATCCTCCTGCTCAGCCTCCCAACCCTCCTGCACTGGGACTACAGGCTTGCTTACCATGCCAGACTTCATCTCACATTCTGTGCCTTCTTGCTGGCACTAGGCAGGGCTCCAGACCAGCTGCTGGGGGTGGGGAACAGATTCCCAGCACCCTGCCACCCGGCCTTTAGGTTTCCCAGAAGCCTTCCCTGCCCCCTGGCCTCACATTGTTCCTCTCTGGCTGTTTTTTCCTGTCCAGGACCCTCCAAGGCCAAGCCTGGGTTAACTGGCAGTGAGCAGAGCTGAGCCTGCTCAGGCTGGTGTAAGGCTCCTTGGTGGGGTGCGGGTGGGAGTGTGCCCTCCAGCCTGAGGGGCGCTAGGCTCTCATGGATGCTTTTGGGCAGTCCTCATTCTGCCTCTGCTGTCTATACCTGACCGTTACCCCAGACCTGTCCATAACCCTGCCCACCTGGGTAATCCAGATCATCAAGGTGAGAGGCCTGGCCACACAGTGGATGCAGATGAGCTGTCCCTGCTTTCTCCCAGGACCCTGGTCCCATGTGCCTGGTTTCACGGTGTTACCGTTCTATGGATTTCTAACTCCTGGGCCCTGCCCACCGACAACAGGGGCTCTCCACCCTCACCCTCACAGGGTTTCCTGGAAGTCCTACTGCGTCTGCACCTGTGGGGGGTCGGACCACCCACTTCCGGAGCCATAAAAGGCTGTCTTGTACCCTGGGCACAGACATAACCAAATCTCAGTGAGAGCCGTAGTGTCGGAACCAGGTTTGAATCCTGTCCCCCTGGCTTGGGTGGCCATGTCCACTCTATACCTTTGGCCTACCTTGTCCCTTCCCGGGAAGAGACAGAGCCTCCTTGCCCACGGGGCCCGACCACCGTCTCCCGTCACGATGGCCGCTCACGTCCTGCTCCTGCTCCTCGCTGCTTCCGCCCTGGGCAACCGGGATTCGATGGACAGGTGAGGAAGCCGACGCCCTGCTGCCTTGGGCAGGGCGGGAAGGGGGCACCTGTGTGCGCGCCCCGTGCCTGCAGGGGGCGCTGCTTGACCCGGGTCCTGTCCTTTGCTTCCTGACCCCCAGGCGGCCCCAGGCCCAGCTCTCTCAGCGCCGCGGCCGCAGCTGCTGGCTGGGCACCTGCCAGACGCACCTCCTGCCGCACCGCCTGGCCTGGGTGCGCGCGCTGCCCGCCAAGGAGCCCTCGGGGAAGGCCGCCCGAGAGCCGCAGGACCCGCGCAGCTACGGGCGCCGCCGGCGCGACGCCCCGGGCTCTGCTCGCCTGGGCCTCGGGGTGCCCGGTCGCCGGCCGCGCCCCGCCCCTTCCTTCACCCCGTGAGACCCGCTCCCAGCCGTGGGACCCAATGCTAAGGTCCGACCGGAATAAAACAAGAGCCCCACGTGTGTCTGCCTGTCCGCGCCGATTTATGGGGCTCTTAGACTCTGCATACCGTGGTCTTTCTCCACGTCCTGGAAGTCCCTCTGGCTGTCTGACTTGGGGCGCTCCTCACAGCGCCCCCTCCAGGCCAACTCGGCCCCTGTGCCCTCTGTGGTGATCTGGGGCTGTCCACCCCAGACTCGTCTCCTTCAGGGGCAGACGGCCCGAGATGCGGGCTGAATCCTCAGCCACGCCTTTGTCCCCCAAAAGAAAGTATGATCCCTAAGGCAGAGCGAGGGGCAGAAAGATGCGGGGTTCCGAGGAATGAGGGCCCGAAAGGAGGCGCATCGACGGGTGGAGGGAGACTGGCAGGGCGCAGGGAGGGGATTGGACGCTGGGTGGAAAGGGGCGGGGACAAAGGCCGCGAGGGGGAGGGGCGGCGATCCAGCCCCGGAGCGGAACAGCACGGTAGGCGGGCGCCACAGAAGTCGGGGCTTCTGTCCGACGGCCCAGAGGTGGCCAGGACTCTGGGGGCCGGCCGACCAAGTGGCGCACTTGTCCTAGTGGGCGTGGACATATGCAAGGGAAAGACTTGGGTCCTGAGCTTAAAATCGAGGAGCAGGGGCGTGAACGTGGCCTCGGTTCCCAGCCTCTGATCTGCAGGCACCTGACCTAGTGTAAGTACCAGGCCGGGCCAGGCTGCGGGAGGCGAGGCGCTCCGTCGGGCCGGGCCCGCGGCTTCTCCACCGCTTGGCTTCCTCTGCGGTTCGGGTTCGGCATCCCTGCTGCGGGGCATGCGCGGTAGGGCGCTCCCTCACCCCCCTCCAGCTGGGCGGGGGAGGGGCCGCCCCTGGATGAAATAATTTCTCGAACCCCCTCAGCCGCGTTTTGGGATGGGAAACGGAAATGGGGTGGACGGGATCCATGTCCGGTGGGTGTTCCTTTCCTCAGGGTCGCTGCTGTGCTTGTTAAAGACATCGCAACTCAGTCCTCGGTTTCCCTCACCCACCCCGAAGCCTCAGACCCTTTGGGGGTGGGGGCACTCCCTGGGCATTGCATTCTCTCTGTGGCAGCTAATAGGATTCACGCGAGTGATCCGTCAGAGGTTCCCCTTCCCCAACACCGCGGGGTCTCGGGACCCTCAAGATCCTGTAGCGGCTTAGGCAGGCGGGGAGTGGGTGCTCTGTTCCCGGGTTGGTGGAGAGAGGGGCTGGAGCCTGGGCCTCCCCAGTCCTCGAGAAGAGGGCATTGGGGGTGGGAACCGGGGGTCTGAGGGAGTGCCCCTCCTCCCAGGGCCCCCGTATGACATGGCAGAAGCGCACCAGGCCGTGGGCTTCGTGCCCTCGCTGACCTCCGACGGGGCCGCGGTGGCGCTCAGGGGCCCGGTGCTGCAGGACATCTACCTCTCGGGGCTTCGGTCCTGGAGAAGGCATCTCTCGCGTTTATGGGTAAGGACCGCTGCTCACGTCCTTCGGCAGTCCAGGCCCCTGCTTTCCAGATGCCTCAGGCCACTTCCTGACCGGAATCTGGCTGTCCCCTTCCAGGACCCCTTCAGCATTTCCCCGTGATTCATTCTGGGGTTCTCACTTATGAGCGCCTTCTTCGTCTTACACTCATTGTGAATGCCATACTACCCCCCATCCACATGGTAGCCCTGTTCCCTCCTCTATTTCATTTAATTTATTCATTTTTTTGAGACAGGGTCTTGGTATGCATTTCGGGGGGCCTTGAACCAGTGTGTAGCCCATGTCACCCTCGAACTCACAGTGATCCTCTTGCCTCAGCCTTCCCAGTGCTGTGGTTACAGGTGTGCGCTACTACTTCTGGCTGCCTCCCCAATTTTTCTTTTTTTCAAAATTTGGTACAGGGTTTCTCTGCGCAGCTCATACTTGTAGTGATCCTGTTTCAGCCTACCCAGTGCTGGGATTACAGACCTGCACCACCATGCCAGGTTTTGGTGGCAGGCATGGCTTGCCCAAGGGCAGGGCTGGCACTTGTAAGCCAAGCGTCACCCATGCCAGGCTAATGCCTGCTGCTGAGCTGTCTGCTCCCAGCTGCTGTGATGCCTGCCTCATCTCTCCCTGTCTACTTCTGCTTCTAAACAAGGTGGCCCTTGTGCCAGGCCCTCTGGGCTTCCATCAGGCTTGTGATGGACCTAGCCACAGTGGCACGTACCTATCATCCCAGAATGCTGGGAGGCTGAGGCAGGAGGAGTGTAAGTTTGAGCCCTGCCTGGGCAACTTAGTGGGACCGTGCCTCAAGACAGACAATAGAAGAGTAGGGGACAGAGCTCAGCATGGAAGCCCTGGGTTTGTCCCCAGTAACTGGGAAAAAAATCTGACAGGTGCACCCTGTTCCTGGGCTGGTTGCTGGGGCAGGACCAGGTCTGTCTGCCCTACTGGACCTGCAGCACCCGGCCCAGGGCCTGGGACACACCAGCATGTAAGTGACTCTCTGGAAAGTGTTGTGTTCAGTGGGGGGACCTGTTACTGGACAGATGCCCTTTCCTGCCCACAGAATGACCTTCTCAGTGGCGTGCTCCCCGCCAGCCCCCTCAGCTGGCTCTTCCTCTTCAGTGCCATCCAGCTTGCCTGCTTTCTCCAGCTGGACCCTTCCCTGGGACTGATGGAGAAGATCAAAGAGCTACTGCCAGACTGGTGAGATCCCCCACGTCAGCCCAGTACCCTCCTAATCCTTCTCCTGTCACTTTAATTTCTCTGTCAGTTAAGTTTATCTATGAGAGTGCTGTGTCTGCCAAAGAAAAGTAATCTCTGAAACTTCCTTAGGGTCAGATTAAGAAAGGTATGACATCAGGAAAGAGGAGGCGACTTTCTCTCTTCTCTCTGTTCCTTTTCTATGCTGGCTGAGATGGTAACAGGCTAGAAGTATGAGCTCTACCAGTCTCCAGAGAGCATCATTCTCAATTGGCAAAGCCTGCAGTTGTGGGGATAATAATTGATTCTTGGGTTCTTAAAAGAATTTTTTTTTTTTTGTATTTTAGGGAAGGGTCTACAGGGTGTCCAGGGTCTCACTACTAGATCAGACTTACAGTGATACACCTGTTTTACAGCCTCCCAAGAGCTGGGATTATAGGTTCGCGCCACCATGCCCAGTCTCAATTGCCATCTCAGTGTGCCCCGGGGGTGGTGGTGGCACGGCAGGCCTGGGGTTTGAACCCCCAGTCCCTGAGCTTGCTTGTAGGCGCTTTAATCCGCTGAGCTATTTGGCCGGCCCTTAAAGAGTTAATCAACATCATCCATGCAAAATATTCATAGGGCCAGAAGAGTGGTTAAATTATTATAGTTGTTGTTGTTACCATTAGGAAAGGTGTGAAAACCAGGTCTCCAAATAGTGCAGGTTGCCTTGGAGCTCACTATGCAGCCCAGGTCGGCCTTGAACTCAAGGAGATCTCCCTGCCTCACCCTCCTGAGTGCTGGGATTGCAGGAGTGTGACACCATGCTCAGGCCCAGCCTCCCTTTCTCTCCCCAGTGGGGGACAGCACCACAGAATCCGGGGCCTTGTGGCGGCTGCGCTGTTTGCCTTGTGTTTGTGGGGCGCCCTGATCTTCACTCTTCACGTGGCCTTGAGGCTGCTTCTGTCCTATCACGGCTGGCTACTCGAGCCCCATGGAACCATGTCCTCGGCCACCAAGACCTGGCTGGTATGTGAGGCTGCAGGCCACGGCACCAGGACACCTCTCTGTCCCTCTGCATTTCTGCTACTCTCTCTCCAGGTCTCTGTCCCCATCTCTCTGTCTCCACCCCCTCTTTGGGTCCGTTCACCTCTTTAGGTCGAGTTTCCTTTCCCTCTGCGGTCAGCCCTCGCCCACCCCAGTGTTTTATATTTGTCCCGGAGAGAGGCTTGGTGACCCTGACTGGTGCTCCCCGCAGGCTCTGGTTCGCATCTTTTCCGGCCGCCGCCCGATGCTCTTCAGCTACCAGCGCGCCCTGCCGCGCCAGCCAGTGCCCTCGGTGCAGGACACCGTGCGCAAGGTGGGCCGGGCCGGGGAGGCGGGAGGCGGGAGGCGGGCGGTGCAGGCACCGGGTAACGCTCCCTTCCGTCCTCCCCGCTTGCAGTACCTGGAGTCCGTCAGACCCGTTCTCTCGGACGAGGACTTCAACTGGACCGCGGGGCTAGCTCAGGAGTTCCTGAAGCTGCAGGCGCCGCTGCTGCAGTGGTACCTGCGTCTCAAGTCCTGGTGGGCGGCCAACTACGTGAGTCCCGCCCCCCGAGCCCCGCCCACAGCCCCAGGCCTGGCCGCCATTGGATCCCCGATGTGCCAACAAGCGAGCCCCGCCCCTGCCTTAGGAACCGGCCTCGCCCCTGAGCCCCATAGCCCCGCCCCATGCACCTGTTCCGCTCAGCTCCCAAGTTCCAAAAACAGTCCTGCAGCAGATGCCTCAGTACTGCGCTGCGTCCCCAGCTCTCCAAAGTTACAACCAGGGTTTCAGGTGCTATGTAATGTTTCCTGCTCAAGGACGGCTTCCCCAGATGGGCTTCCATTTGGGGTTCTGGTTCAAGAGAGCTAGACCCGTGCCTTCGCTCAGGGGAACTAACTCCTCAGGAAACTGAGGCACAGAGGGTGTCAGTGATTCACATAGATCGGAACTGGCCAGCCTCACGTTCTGTGAGTGTAGGGCTTGAGTAAGCGTTGTGTATACAGAGACTCATGGAACCATCGCCTCAGAGGGTGGAGCTTTTCTAGCACTTATTAGAAACTTCTAGATTGTTCTAGAAGACACAGTACAGTCTGAGGTTGAAGTGCAGGCTGCCATGCGTATGAAGATGTGAACATACATCTGTTCTCAAAGGTTCTATGAGCGTTCATGACATAGAAATAAGGAAACTTTTAGAAACACTCGTGTGCCCTCCAAGCACTCTGTCATAATCCTTTCTCTTTCCATCATCTACAGGGAAACCTGTCAGTCTCTTCAATGAATATACAGGATCATACACAACTCCTGAGTTTCATTTTTGTTTGCTTTTGAGACTCTCACTATGTAGTTCAGGCTGATCTTGAAGTAGCTGTGTAGTCTGGGCTGGCCTAAACTCATGGCAATCTTCCTGCCTCAGTCTCCCCAGTATTAGGATTATAGGCATCCACTGCACATCCAGTTTAAATTTCTTTCTTTCTTTCTTTCTTCTTCTTTTTTTTTTTTTTTTTTTGTGCGGAACTGGGGATTGAACTCAGGCCCTTGCTCTTGCCAAGGAAACGCTTATTCTACTGAGCCATCTCCCCGGCCCTTTGTTTTCTTTTTGAGACATGGTTTCACTATGCAGTTCAGGCTGGCCTCAAACTCACAGCAATCCTCCTGCCTCAGCCTTGTGAGTGCTGGGATTACAGGAGTGCACCACCATGCCTGGCTTGAATTTCATTCCTTTTAATAGTTGCTAGCTCACTGGTAAAGGGCATGCTTAGCAAATATAGGCCCGAGATTCAAGGCCCAGCACCACAAAACACTTACTTTCCTGCCTCAGCCTTGTGAGTGCTGGGATTACAGGAGTGCACCACCATGCCTGGCTTGAATTTCATTCCTTTTAATAGTTGCTAGCTCACTGGTAAAGGGCATGCTTAGCAAATATAGGCCCGAGATTCAAGGCCCAGCACCACAAAACACTTACTTTTCCCTTGGTATGGTTAAATAACACTGCTCCATGAATGGGCCACATTTTGGCTGTCCATTGCATTAAAGTACTATTTAAAAATTCAAAAGCAGAGGTGGCAATGAGGATGCAACCTGCAATCACATTTGCACTCTGGGAGGCTGAGACAGGAAAATTGAAAGTTTTGTGTCCAACCTAGAGAATGTGGCAACTTATAAGACTGCACATTCTTGGTACCCTGAAGGGCTGGGCAAGATTTGCAGAAAGAGTGATGGAGTGAAATTTATTAAAGATAAAAATACACTTTACAGGGGCTGGAGAGATGGCTCAGTGGTCTAAAGCACCTACTTGAAACAAGCTTGGCAAAGCACAGGGACCGCGGTTCGATCCCCAGCTCCACATGCCAGCCAGACCCGCCCCCTGGTGGGCTGAGCTGGCCACACACACACACAATAAATAAATGTAATAAATAAAAATAAAATAAATATTTAATAAAAAATAAAAATAAAAATACACTTTACAGATTGGATGCAGCCCAGGGAGAGGAGGAGTTCATAGCTGGGTAGGGACAGGTATTAGGTCTCTTTAGGGTCTCAGGGGAGGTCCCGAGTTGGGGATTACAGGAGTCCCCACCATGGTGGTATCTGACTCATGCCACTCACCAGGAGGGGGGGATTTTGACCATACAAGGTTTTAAGAACAAGTGTTGTGGCGTTCAGATCCCTCAGGAGGGGGTCAGAACCGAAATGGACAAAGCTGGACAAGGCCAGGGCTTTGTAGTTTGTTTTTGAGAAAGGCTCTCCCTAAATAGCCCAGTTTGGCCTTGAACTCTCAGTGATCCTCCTGCCTCAGGCTCCCAAAGGCTGGGATTATAGCATGCAGTAACATGGGCCATGTACTCGTGGTATCGTGTACACCTGGGTGCACAGGGTGATTGGGCTGAGTACGGACAGAGCCTGCACCTACATGAGAATCACAGGACCCTCACCCTCACTGATCTAAAGGGGGCATGGAGTGTGGGGCTGGCTGGGAGCTGTTGATTCCCCAGGAAGCTTGGAGGCCTGTGGTGGAATACCGCTTGAAGCCTGGAAGAGTGGACTTGGAAGGCTCTGTTAATAAGCAAGAGCCAGGGCCGGAAAGCACCTGTGTTCCATACCAGCCCCATCCCCAGGGCACAATGAGTCAGCGATTGAGACTGGGCATGGTGGCACCTGCCTGTAATCCCAGCGCTCGGGAAGCTGAAAACAAGAGGATCACTATGAGTCCAGTCTAAGTAGTGAGACCCTGTAGGCCCTGTACTAAATACATAAAATAAATAAATAAGCAAGAGCCACAAGTGCAAGCAAGAGTAATTAACATAAGAATTGGTATAGGGCTGGGGAGATAGCTCAGTGGTCTAAGTGCCTGCCTGGCACGTGTGAGGCCATGAGTTCAATTCCTAGTATCAGGAAAAAAATTAAAAAGGACCCTAACCATCACTCTTCATAACACCCTTTGCTTAGGCCTCGTACACTCGTCTTTTTATGAGGTTAGATTCTGCCTTTTCAGATTAGTTACCCAGAAATGACAGGTTTTATTTAGCACACTACAGCTTCACCCTGTTCATACAGTGAGGACAGCTTAACCCCCTTCGATGTCTTTCTTTCTTTCTTTTTTTTTTTTTTTGGCAGAACTGGGGATTGAACTCAGACCCTTGCGCTTGCCAGGGAAGTGCTTATTCCACTGAGCCATCTCCCCGCCCCCCTCCTTCGATTTCTGTGGCTGTTGCTGCTTATTTGGTGTTTGAGACAGGTTCTTGTTATGTAGTCCAGGCTGGCCTCAAACCCTTGGTGATCCTCCTGCCTCAGTCTCCAGAGCGCTGGGCGTTTCTCACGTGGAGGACCACTTCAGCTGGAGAATGTAGACTTTTTGCTGATTTAGACTTCAAGGCTCTGCAGTGGCTGGCTGTGCTTGCTACTGTCCCCAAGATCGATTTCTGACTGACGTGGTGCTCCCAAAACCCGCAAGAGTCCGGTTAATAGTCGCCATCCCAGCGTGGCTTCTCTTGAGCCACATGGAGGGCAGGCCGCTCGAGCAAGGGCTATGAAAGTGCGCCAGCACCCAAGGTCCCAGGGGTGCCCACATGTGCTCCACATCTGCCACCCAAGGCTGCGACAGGGTGATCCTGCAGACCCTGCGGTGAGCGTGAGTCCTCCTGGCCGGAATGTGTTACCTCAGTGCCAGGCCCTGCGCCCTGCGGGACCGCTCTTCCGGCCCCTCTCTGAAGTGTCCTTGTGCATCCTGCAGATGCTTTTCCTAACCTGGAAGGACACCCAGAGACTGGGGTGGCAGCAGCTCAGTGGGCAGGCAGTGGCGAGCAGTGTGGCCTGTCCCGCTCAGCACCGGTGGCTGCTCTTCCAGAAGAAGTGGGCGGCCTGCGGCTCAGCAGTTCCAGGCACCAAAGGCTGAGGAGCAAACGCAGAGCAGCGGGCACCTGCCGCTCCCCTGAGGCTGGGAGACAGCCTCCCTCCCCTGCGGTCGAGGCTGTGGAAGATTAAGCACCCCGTGTGGGCAGGCAGGTTTACTGGCTCCCGCTCTACTTGCCCTTCTACCACAAGACCCTGCCTCAGAGCGACGTGGGGTGGCACATGCATGCCTGTAACCCCAGCACTGGGGAGGCTGAGGCAGGAGGAGCAATGAGAGTTTGAGGCCAGCCTTGGGTGCATCGTGAGATCAAGGACAGCTTGAATTACCTAATGAAACCCTGCCTCAAAAAAACAAAAAGAACAGGGGCCAGGGAGATAACTTAGTAGAATAAGCACTTGCCTAGCAAGTGTAAGGGCCTGAGTTCAATCCGCAGTTCTGCCAAAAAAAACCAAAAAACAAAAAACAAAATGAAACAAAAATCTGTTTCAAAATACAAAAGATAGAGGGGTGCTGGGAGATGCAGCTCAGCAAGGTTCGGTCCCCGGTAACACACACACATGTACACACACACACACACACACACACACACGATCATTCCACATATTATTTGCTTGCTTTTTTTTTTTTTTTTGTGGCCAGCTCAACCCACCCTGGGGCAGCATGTGGTGCTGAGGATCAAACCACAGTCCCTGCACACTTGCCTAAGCAGATGCTTTAGACCACTGAGCTATCTTACCAGCCCTCTATATGTTTTCTTGTGCTCCATTTCACTGAAAAATATGTCTCCATGCTCATTGTGCATCTGCAAACATGGATATATCTTGCCTTTTTACCAGCTGTGTAATATTCACTGACCAGAGTTAAATGATCCCTGATCCATGGACTTCTCAGATTTGCTAGTTACTGATCACAACAGCCTCTTTCCTTCCTTGCACTTTACCCTTCCTGTGTGACACAGGAAAGTTGGTGGCCCACCCTGTTTCATGCTCTCCCCTTCAAGATGGCATTCAGTGTGACTCCTGCCTCACTTTCAGGTCAGCGACTGGTGGGAAGAATTCGTGTACCTGCGCTCACGCAATCCGCTGATGGTGAACAGCAACTATTATCTGATGGTGAGGGTGAAGGCACTGGGAGGGGTGGGGCTGCCACACCCCAAGGCCAGGGGCGGGCTCTGGAGAGATGGTGCACGCCTGCCTGTGTCCTGAGTCCCAGAGCACTCTGGAGTCACTGTCTGCCCTTTTTTGGGGGCCAAGACCGCCATCAAGGGGCTCAGCCATGTTGCCGTCCCTTCTGCTGGCCCCAGGACTTCCTATATGTCACGCCCACGCCGCTGCAGGCAGCTCGCGCCGGGAATGCCATCCATGCCCTGCTCCTCTACCGCCACCAGCTGAAGCGCCAGGAGATCTCCCCAGTAAGACTCCTGTGGGCTGGGGACAGAGGCGTGGCCCTGTGTGAGGGGACCTCACGCGGGTCCCTAAAGGCGGCTCACCGGCCTGCGGCCTCCTGCAGACTCTGCTGATGGGAATGCGCCCTTTGTGCTCTGCACAGTATGAGAGAATATTCAACACCACGCGGGTCCCGGGGCTGCAGAAAGGTGAGACCCATTCCCTGTCCCCTCAGTGGGACATTCACCGTCAGCACTGTGGTAGCACAGGCGGGTCCTCTGGAGCCCGTCTGCTGGGGCTCAAGCCCTTCTGGTGTGGCCCTGGGCAAATCATTACCCTCTTCAAGCCTCAGTGTCCTCGTCTCTAAAATGGGATAATAGGGCAGCACTTGGGGGCCTGAGACAGGAGCATCACTGTGAGTTCCAGGCCAGCCTGAACTACATAGCAAGACCCTAAAGTTAAAGAAAAGGGGGGGGGGATAAGCCAGGTGTGGTACCTGCCAGTTATCCCAGCACTTGGGAGACTGAGGCAGGATTGCTTGGAGTTTGAGGATACATAGTGGGTTGAAGGCCAACCTGGACTATATGGCAAGACACTTTCTTGATTAAAAAAAAAAACCTAGAGCCAAGTGTGGTGGTGCATGCCTGTAATCCCAGCACTGGGGAGGCTGTGGCAGGAGGATCTCCATGAACTTGAAGCCAGCCTGGGCTACATAGAGAGTTCAA